CCGCCGCCGGGCTTGAAGTAGATGGCCTCGACGTCGGGCCCCATGCTGGTGACGAGGCTGTACTTGAGCTTCTAGCGGCCGTCCTTGGGGTCGACGACGAAGACGTCGTCGCAGCGCTCAAAGATGCGGAACGTCTTGGTCACGTCCCCGGGGGCCGCCTTGTCCCAGCGACTCCAGGTGAGGTAGGTGCTGACGTTTGCGGCGGTGGCCTGGTCGTTTGTGAAGGCGACGAGGGCGTTGCCGACCTGGTGCTCCACGAGAGCGTCGCCAAAGGCGGCGCGGATGTTGGCCGTCGTCTGCTCCAGCCCGGCCGACAGGCCGCCGTACGCGGGGCCCAGGGGCCGGCTGTCGTAGACGACGTCGTCGGTCATGGCCTCGCGCAGCCGGTCGTACTGCTTGTGGTCCGGGATGGAGGCGAGCAGGTACTCGGCCTAGTGCACGGCCTCGTACGGCTCGGGCTTGGGCCGGCCCGCGGAGGCGAGGGCGGCGAGGAGGGCGGCGAGGGCGGTGGAGGCGCGCATGGTGGGTGTGGTGGTGGTGGTGGTGGTGGTGGATGGAGAGGGGTTGGTGCTGTGGTTTGGTTTTTGGGCTGGTGAGAAGCGAGAGTAAGAGGCCGGAGCTGGTAGCGATCGACTGTTGAGTGAAGCTGTAGGCCGATGCTGATGTTCTCTTCATGAATCAAAACGCCAAGGAGCGTGATGTGCCTCTCTTATAGCAAGAGTTGTCTGTTGAACACAGATAATATCTCGGAATGAAGATATCATAGCACCCCCCATCTCCATGCGCACCACGGTGCCTCCGAATTACCGCATTAGTATCATGGGAAACAGACGCCTTGTTCAACCTCTGGGAGACAGGGCGCTGCCCCGATTCTAGATTGAGGTGCGGCGATCCAAGCCGCTTGGACTGGACACGGTGACGAGGCTGTCCGAGGCCTCAGCCTCGCTACGTCGGTCTGCAGGCAGCACCAGCATATTGCAGGTGAGGTAGCAGCCGTGCCCTCGCTCTAGGCGCAGTTGAAACGGAATTTTCCGAAAAGCCTGCATGGAGCGCCGTTTGTAATGGGATTTAGAAGAAGTGGTCGTGCAACCCGATTTCCCCCCCTTTTCCCCCAAACCGCATCGATATTCTCCAACATGGGCCCTAGTTGTCCAACCTCTAGACCAGCCCGAACGGTGCCTTGGGGTCCGAGGTATGGAGTACTCTTACAAGAGACGCGCGGTACAGGGCTGCTTCCTCATTAAGTAATCAGATAGTGCATGGCGGCCGTCCTTTTTACGGCGTAGCCGTGGTCTAGTCTCTGCCTCGGATCATATGGTTGCTTGTCGTATTTTTCCATTTCGGACAGTCGTGTACTTTGACGATCATGAGGTCTGGATATCCGACGTTTAATCACATTTAAGGAGGTGAGTTGAGGTTATGGTTCCACGGCGTTGATGAGGCTGGCTGTGGCTGGTCTGATTTGCCACACTTGGAGCATTGACACTTGCCAAAGAATCTACCCCGCCATTGCCCCTCTTTGCCCCAGAAGGGTGGGTATTGACATCCATGGCATTGCTCGTGCAGGCTTTGTGTCTGTTATCGGATGCTGGGTGGAACATGGCATCAACGGGAATCTCAGCTGGGTGTTTCATCAATTGGAACCATGGAGAATCCCATCCAGATCCATTCCCCCGTGCTGCTCGAGAGCACGCCCAGCGGTACAGGTACAGAGGGCGAGGGGCTGGTAATGTTACAGGCAGGCCGCAGCAAAATTTCCTAAAATGGCCGGTGTTCAGGGGTGGTTGGTTCGTTACCGCCAACAGGCTCGCAGAGGTTCCCGAGCTACAGTCCTAGGAGCTCCAAAGATCGGGCGACGGCTGCGCACTGTATGCTCGGGCTGTCAGCCGTCGGGGCAGGCTTCTGGAAAGAAGATGCATGCAACCTAGCAGGCTCGCACTCGGGCTGGGGGAGACAGAAGAATTCCACAGAGAAGGGTTGAACAACATCGGCCTTGCATGCAACCGCCTTCGTATAGTGATGCTTGAACAAGGCAGCCAACCCGCGGGCTTGGCAGCACGCGGCTTTGGCATTACGTCTGCCATTCGCAAGACTCCAGGCAGACACAATCGGATCCGTCGCGGCCAAGTCACAGAAATGCCGTGTGCACCACATCTCGATCCACCCGACGGCATCCTGTCGCAGGCTGGTCAAGATTCAATGCTAATGGTGGCAGCTTTAATGTCGGTGCCTCAGCTTTGCCGCAGTGGCGATGGTGGTTGCGAGTCCTGGGTGTCAGAAGACGAACGTTTCTTGGCTGCCTGGGTCCGACTGGCGCTTGTCATTATCTCGACGGAGCGGCGGGGACGGCCCAGCCACCCGCAGACGCGCCTCCTTGCCTACTGCAGGCGGCAGGGGGCCAACGCAGACTGGAAAAGGGGTCCCGGAAATGATGGAGGAGTTCCGCCAGACGCGCGTGGCATGGGCATGGCAACCACATAATCGTCCCGAAGACCGAGCCTGTCGACACCGGCAGCCTGGAATACACAGGCTGAAAGTCCGAGGGCTGGTTAGGCTGTAGGCTGCTGCTGCTTTTTCGATGCTGGCAGCAAGGGAAAAGGCATGTTTCCATCGAATTATGCCATAATAATGGAATCCGTCTAGTTGCCGTGATCATGGATGGACATAGCGCACCCCCGCTCCAGAGAGCTCCACAGCTCACAAGCCGACCCGTACTAACAAACAAACAAACAGAATGCCCGCCAGGTTGGCGAGACCAGGGCGCGATAATTAGCTCTCCAGGAGGTCGGTACTGCCATGGGCTACGAGAAGGAAATCTAATAGGGGATGAATTGTAGTAATGCCAAAGAGAAGAGACTCAGGGCACATGCAAGGGAGAAACAGCACGGCAACACAGTGGCAAGCGGGGTCAAAGGGCTGCAGACGTGTTAGTGCGGAGATTTTGTGCTGTCATCGCTGATCTTGACTGGGCTGTCCACCGCCTCGACAGCCCGATAGCGGCGCTTGGGACGGAAGGAGCAGCGGAATGCAGTACCCAGCACCAGCACCCAGCTCATCCAGCGGTGCGTGCGACGGTGCTGCAGGAGGGAGCGGCGGTCCGCCAACCAAAAAGACGACAGGGCCGGCCCAGCGTCGACCCAGCGTCGAGCTCTGAAGCCCAGGCGGCCCATAGCCAAGGAGGAGCCCACAAGTCAGCGACGCACGGACGCTCCCAGGCTGTGACATCGTTTCCCGCCATTTGCTGCTTACGCCCACATTCATATCGCCTCAACCAAAAGCCGACCTCACCTCAAAATCTAACACCTTGCCTCCTTTCCATCCAACTTCGTCCCACACCCTCTGGCCCGGACGCTTTCTGCATCTTCACCATCATCACCGCTCTGTCGACTCGGGAGCCTCGCTCAGCACTTGACGCCTCTACTGCTTTTTTTCTAGTCTAGCACACACATTAATCCGCCACAATGGAAGGTATGTTTGTCTGCTTGTCGACTGCCCCATCGCACGCACCCACGCACCCACGCACCCAGCCCGGGCGCCGACGCCTCTGCGCGCCGTACACCACGGTCACAGCCCGAGCCATCTCGGCCGTCGTGCCCTCGATGCTCCCAGTACTGATTCTCGATTCTTGCTGCTGCAGAGGAGGTTGCCGCTCTCGTCATCGACAATGGGTAAGCTCTCCGTCGCGCCCTCACCGACTAAACACAGCCTCCCGAGGCCCTGGTCCCCTGGCTCAATTGCTACATGGCTGCCCACTCGACCTCGTCGAACGCACGCGATCCCCGGGACGGACGCCAGAATCAGGGCCAACGCCCGGCGACACGCCATGATGGGTTTCGGTGTGCTGACATGGCTTACCTCGCAGTTCGGGCATGTGCAAGGCCGGTTTCGCCGGTGATGATGCTCCCCGTGCTGTCTTCCGTAAGTGCCCCGCATTTTGTTTGTGACCTCGGTGCGCGCCATTCTACGCCACCACCATCCCTCCCAGCAGCCATGACTGCGGCGAACGGCACCAGCCATGGCACCCGACGACCATGGGCTGTGTGCGGGGAATGGAAATACTGGGAGAAGCGAAGAAGAGAAAAAAGATGCACGACGGCAAAGTCTAACCTCTATTGCGGTTGGTTTATAGCGTCCATTGTTGGTCGTCCCCGCCATCATGGGTGAGTAGCCAGGTCCCCCGCCTTGATTTCCCCCATTTGCGGCACATGCGCACCCAGAACTCATCTGGTTGGGCATGTTCCGGATTTATCTGGTTGAGAGGACGGCCGCCTGTCTAGAACCTCCAGCCATGCGGACAGAATGCTGACAACGGCGACATGGCAGCATCATGATTGGCATGGGTCAGAAGGACTCGTACGTCGGCGACGAGGCTCAGTCGAAGCGTGGTATCCTCACTCTGCGGTACCCGATCGAGCACGGTGTCGTGACGAACTGGGACGACATGGAGAAGATTTGGCACCACACCTTCTACAACGAGCTGCGTGTGGCTCCTGAGGAGCACCCCGTCCTTCTCACCGAGGCCCCCATCAACCCCAAGTCTAACCGTGAGAAGATGACGCAAATCGTCTTCGAGACCTTCAACGCCCCTGCCTTCTACGTCTCGATCCAGGCCGTCCTGTCGCTGTACGCCTCGGGTCGTACCACTGGTATCGTGCTCGACTCGGGTGACGGTGTCACCCACGTCGTCCCCATCTACGAGGGTTTCGCCCTGCCCCACGCCATCGCCCGTGTCGACATGGCCGGCCGCGACCTTACCGACTACCTGATGAAGATCCTGGCTGAGCGCGGTTACACCTTCTCCACCACGGCCGAGCGTGAAATCGTCCGCGACATCAAGGAGAAGCTCTGCTACGTCGCCCTCGACTTTGAGCAGGAGATCCAGACGGCCGCCCAGAGCTCCAGCCTCGAGAAGTCGTACGAGCTGCCCGACGGACAGGTCATCACCATCGGCAACGAGCGCTTCCGTGCCCCCGAGGCCCTGTTCCAGCCCTCGGTCCTGGGTCTGGAGAGCGGTGGCATCCACGTCACCACCTTCAACTCCATCATGAAGTGCGACGTCGACGTCCGTAAGGACCTGTACGGCAACATTGTCATGGTACGTTTGGTCAAATCTGGGTTGAGCCAACTTGTAATATCCGCTAACTTGCATCTCCTCTCTAGTCTGGTGGTACCACCATGTACCCTGGTCTGTCGGACCGTATGCAGAAGGAGATCACGGCCCTGGCCCCCTCGTCGATGAAGGTCAAGATCATCGCTCCCCCCGAGCGCAAGTACTCGGTCTGGATCGGTGGTTCCATTCTCGCCTCGCTGTCGACCTTCCAGCAGATGTGGATCTCGAAGCAGGAGTACGACGAGAGCGGACCTTCGATTGTCCACCGCAAGTGCTTCTAAGGTGAGAAACGGTCTGATGCCTTCTGCTTGGGTACTCGACGGTGGCTGACATGGCATCATTCACATGCGCAGCGCCTAGTCCTAAGCCTGTTTCCCTCATGTCCCCCACCGACTCCCCTAGAGACCGACGAAAGAAGGCAGTTCCCTGTGCCGTTCACGACCGCCCCACGAGACGCGTATCTTCGAAAAGTTGTTGCTATAGTGGAGGGTTGGTGGAGGGCTTTTCTACATCGGGAGGAAAAGTACGATGGCATGTGTCTTCGAGTAGTTTGGCGTAACCGCGCGAAGGAGCTGGGGAGACGAGTACACGGGAGGTTTTATACAATTTAGCTCTGTTTACCCTTCTCAACTTGTCATGGGTGGGGTTCCAACGTGGGTGATTTCGTCATATTGGGCACTACATGACCCGAGGGCTGGTAGTAGAAGACGGTCCGAAGCCTAATGGGAATTTCAAGATTATGGGCTTTACGTCGTGGGTGCTGTATGACTTGTGTGTTTTTCTGATGCAGCGGCGGCTGTTGTATCTGCAGTCTGCCCGGTACTTTGAGATTCCGACAGAGACCCCTCCAGAGCCCCCTCCAGCTCCGGTCCCGCATCATCGTCTTCCTCCTTGCCCTGCTCCTCGAGCTTCCGATACTTGCGCTTGCTCTTTTTGGCGGCGCTGGCCTTCTTCTTCCTCTTGGAGTCGGCGACGATGGCCTGGCGGCTCTGTTCGCCGTTGAACATGACGTCGAGCTTGGCGGCGAGCAGGTCCCGGGCGATCTTTCGGTTCTGGTCGCGCGAGCGGGTGGCCTGGCACTTGACGACGAGGCCCGTGGGTATGTGCTTGAGCTGGACGGCCGAGTTTGTCTTGTTCTGTGGAGTTGGGGAGGGAGGGATGTGTTTTAGTTTTATGGGTGTGTGTGTATAAGAGGTAATGAATGCATGGGGGGCAAACCAAGGTAAAGCAAGTACAATCTTTTGGCCGCCCGGCCCGCTGCCCTTGAGGTACGACTCCTCCAGATCCGAGTCCGGCGGCGGCTTGGGCCGGGCCGGCATCTGCTTCTGCCATGGCGGCGCGGTTGTGCTCAAGGGGCGGCGGGGGCGCGGGATGATGGGTGCTGCTCCCGGCTGCTGCGGCGCGGCGGACACGAACATGCCGTTGAAGAGGGTGCGGCCGAAGAGGGAGGCGCCGCGGGCGGTGGTGGCCATGGCTGGGAGGGGAGGGAAGCTGGCTCGGTGGGGAGTCCGTTGTCGCAAAGCCTCTTCTGTGTTGGCTTGTAGCCCCCCTCCTACCTATGTGTTGTTTTCCTCTGCTTTCTTTAGACGGGGCCGGCAAACAAGGGACGACGGCGGCGCCGGCGCGGGACAAGGTGTGGGTCCTGCTTGGGCTTTTGCAGCAGCTGGTGCCCACCAATCAACCATAGGTATTTCAGTACAGGGGGGCGGCTTTGGCTGCAGAATGGGAACCGGAAGGCGGCCGTTGAGCCGCTTGACCCTTTTTTGTCCTTGTCCTGACCCTCCCCTTGCCGTAATGTAATTTCCATCGTCACCGCCCCGATTCTCGCGGCTTGCTCACGCACCTTGGTTCCTGCAACTCGTGATTGAAGTTCATTCCCCAACGTCCATATCGCCGTTTTTCCGCACATTCTGCCCGACGATTCTACTTTGCTGCCGAATTGCCAAGGGTTCGAATTGAAGCACGCCCGCCCCATCCGCCAAAACCACCACCACTCCAGCCAGCCACGATGAACGTCCTCGACAGGTTCGGCAAGTGGGTGCAGCTCAAGGCGTACCAGGTCGAGGTCACATACTCGGTCTACATGTTTACGCCCGCCGAGAAGTTTATATTCTGTACGTCTCTCTCCCCCCTCCCCCCCGTCAAAACTCAAAATAAAACACCAGCTGACTTGACTCCCCTTCGTCTCTCCTCTCCTCTCCCCCCTAGGGTCCATCGTCTTCCTCGTCCACGCCCTGACCATCATCGCCACCATCCTCTACATGCCGCACCACATCGCCTTCCTGGCCAACCGCGCCTGGTTCTACATCAACGGCGACAGCGTCGACGTCGTCGGGCTCGCAAAGGACGCCGTCCACACCCTCGTCGCCACAAACGCCGCAGCAGCGGCCGCCACGTCGTCGTCCTCCATCTCGACGGCCGCCCGGGCCGCCGCCACGATGGTCAGGGAGCTATAGGCGGCCGGTGCGTCGCCGCCTCGGGGCTGGTTGAGTGACGCCCCGAGAAAACAAAATTCATACTACGAAATTCTCCCTTGCTCCATGGAGAAGGACCATCCAGCCATATCATCAGGTTCACTGGCTGGCTTTATATCAAATGTTGCTTTTAATCCCGTCTCTCGTTGCACCGAGTGCAAGAGACACACTACCCCCGGGCTCGGCGCGGTGGAGAGAAGCGTTGGGCGTTGTGATGCCAAGGTTGGCCGGCGTGCCATGCTCGTAATTTCTGGTTGGGGCATAGAATGGCGGCAGGTGGTGGGAACGCTTCCTGGATAAAGCCCATGATGAAATAGGGGCAGTATATACATATGCTAATAGAAGTAATACCCTGGGGGCGCAACCTTTGCGCTCCCCAAATCGCAATCAACCTATCCTTTTTTGCCTTGGTATTATCTCATCATCAAGTCTACCTACTTCTAATCTAGAGACCCCTGAACTGGTATATCCTGAGAGACGAGTCCTCGCACGCCACCGCCAGCTCGTCGCGCCGCTGGTCGCTCGGAGTCTTGGCCTCAGCATCCGCCGGCCGCCAGGCCAACTGCAATATTGACTTGGAGGAGCATAGGCTGTTGGGTGGATTTCTTGTCAGTACTGCCGCCAAGGGTGGGGAACAAAAGCTCGGGGGTTGGTCGCTTACTGCGAGTCAAGATCATGCTGCGTCACCACAGTCCAGCTCTCTGGGTCCAGGGTGTATGCGGAGATCTTGCCCGCCTCGGTACCGACGGCTAGGACTAGGCCGCCGTTGCCGTTACCGGCCTCGTCACCGCCACTCAGTGGCCGCCAGAGGAAATCCACAGCCGTGGCGGCATGCTCTAGAGGGATCGTAGCGGCGAGCTCAAACGTGGGGGCTGCGGTAGCCGCGACGCTCTCGACCTCGGCCTTCTTCTCCCTCAGCACCCACACCTTTACGTTCTTGTCCCGGCCGGCCGTGGCAAACGCCCGCAGCGGACCCCGGGCCCCAACTGTCAGGGCCGGGGCCCAGGCAGAGTCGAGAATCATCCTCGTGTGGCCCTTGGGGTTCACCTGGAAGAGGCTGTAGCGCAGCTCCGCGTCGTCGCTGGGCTTGGAGGCGCCTCCTGCGTTCTCGGCCGGCGTGGCCGCCGCGCCGCGCTGGAAGACGGCCCACTGGCGGTCACGGCCGACCGAGAGGAGGAAGGCGTCGTCCGGGCTGAAGCGCAGGCGGGTCGCCGTGAGCGAATGGGCGGTCAGAGGCGGGCGCATCTCGGCCCAGCGTGGCGAGGTGGCGAACAGGCGGATGACGGCGTGGTTGAGCGAGCTGGCGCGGCACGCGCTCGCCACCACGCGGCCGTCGTGGCTCGCGGCCAGGCACGACAGCTCGTACCCGTGCCCATATAGCTTCTCAATTTCGGGCCACAGCGTGTGTCGTGATAAGCTGTCCTCGTAAGGGGGGCGGGCTAGGTCCAGTGTAGAGGCGCGGAAGAGCGACGTCGCCATCGCCGCGTCCGGGTCTTGCCGGCGTCCGCCTTCCTCGGCTGCTGCATCTGCGGCTGCTGCCGCCGCTGCCTCGGCCTCGTCGGCCGCCTCATCGTCGACTGCCTCCACGGCCTTGTTGGAAAGGCCGAGGACAGGCATGTTGGCGGCATCCGGGAGGGCGTCCAGTCCTCCATCACCCAACCCCGTGGCGATAGCACCGTTGCCGCTAAGGCGGCCCAACAGGCGAGCCACGGCCTTGGGGGCGCTGAAGACGCGCATCAACTTCTCGTCGGCGCCCGAGACGAACTGCGAAGGTCCCAGGCTGTCTATACAGTTCAGATCATAGCCGTGGATCTGCGGGCGGGCCATCTCGTGCCACGTCGGCACAAACTGCTCCTCGCTGTTCCCGTCTTGTCTAGTATCGCCTCTTGCCCTCCACTCGGCGTGCAGACGGGTGGTCTGGTCCGATGACGTGGACAGAAGGTATCCGCCGTCGCGGGACCAAGTGATGCCCGTGACAGCCTTTGTGTGCCCCGACACGGAGAGTGCCTGGCGCCACAGGGCGGCGGCGCCGCTGGAATCGCCCGCCTCTAGATCCCAGCGCCTCCAGCTGCCGGTCCGGCCTAGACACACGACGGTGCGGCCCGAAGGCGACCAGAGGCCGGTCCAGAACCCACCGATGCTCCCTGTGGCCGTGGTGGCGCCTTTCTCCTTACTCAGCTCCCCGAGCCGGGCGCTGGTAATCCAGATGCCCGAGTCCACGTCGGCCTCCCAAATAGCGAGTGAGTTGTCAGCTGAGGTGGAGAGGAGCTGTGGCCTGCTGGCGCAACCTTCTGTAGCACCCGTTGGTGAGGAGTGCCACTTGGCGCTGTAGATCCAGTCGTCGTGGCTCAGAAGCAGGGCCTCGAACGATATCGAGTATTCCGAGGCGCCGGCCGTGAACCTGTGGGCCTTGTTCGATGGCGACTTGCCGGGGAACGCCAAAGAAGACGATGGTGGCCCGCCGTCTACTTCTGGTGCTGCCTCTGCCGCCTTGGAGGATGCCGTGTCGCCCGCCGTGGTCCTGTGCACCCTCCACAAGCGGATATACTTGTCCTGGCTCGCCGAGGCGAGGAGCAAGTCGCTCTGGGGTGCCTTGGACGCGTCCTCCCAGGCAAAGTCGAGCGACCTGACCCACCCTTCATGGCCTGTGAGGGTGGCCTGGAGTTTAAACTCGATTGCATCCATGCCCGACGCTACCGCTCCATTGGCATCGACAGCGGCAGCAGTGGCGGCAAACACCTGGACGAACGGCTTGGTGCCCGCCGCCGCTAGCATGTACGAGCTCTCCTCGCCATCCAACTGGCTCAAGGCTAGGGCTAGGGGGAAGAATTTGGGCCTCGTCTGGATGGTCTGTAGAAGGCGGAGAGCACCGGCCTCTAAGGTCCATATTTTGATAGTTCCGTCGGCAGCTCCCGATGCCGCCAAGGTCCGGCTCCTCCCCGCCGCACTGCAGCCCAAGACGGCGACGCAGTGGATAGGAGCTGTATGCTCGCGCAATGTCTGACGGAGCAGCGCCTGGCCATCATGACCGAGTTCCCACAAGATCAGACACTGGTCATCGGAGCCGCTCACCAGGTACGACGAGGGCGCCTCCGTCTCCTTATCAGAGTCGCCCTCCGTACCCGTTGGTATGAACTTGACAGCCTTGACGGTGTCTTTATGGCCGCGCAGTAGCCTCGTCACACCCCGAGGTCGTTCATCCTAGGTTGGCACATGACTATCAGGCCCTAGTCGCTTGTCGAAAAGGGGCAACAGCCCAAGCAGTATGAGCCGATCGGTATGAGCAGCATGCACGGCAACTTACAGTCGGCCTCCACAGGGCGATGTTTGCGTCGCTGCCATAGGCCACGATGCCATCATGGCTCCAGTCGGCAACAGCGCTGTGTCTGTTGGCGCCGGCCGAGATGTAGATGGCGTGGGCGTCGATGCTGGGTGACCCCATCATCGTCAGATCGACAGATACACACGCCTACTTGGCTCTACTGCAGGCGGGGGTTTCTAGTGATTTGTCTCGCTCAGGAATTTCCTCATTTGTCGTTACAGCGCCGCATGACTCTTGGAGGGGAAGAGCCACAGTGGGAAATTGGCAGACTGGACGTGTCAAAGTATGTATTTTCCATGCACGTGACACCTACACACTGTGCCATGATCTTGCCAGCCGGGAGACGGCTGGCTCTGCTTGGACCCCTCGCCTAACGGATGGCAGGTGCGAGCGCCATCAGTTGAGTTTGACCTTCCAGCCCAAATCAGGACAGCATCTTTTGATCAAGCCATCTCGTCAACCTTGGCTGCCGGACAACCAACGCGCAAACAGCAGACGACAAGAATCAATGTCTCCAGACGCAGCCGCTTCCTCAACCGTATCGCAGGCTGTCGTGCCACCGCCAACGGCTCACCCAGCAGCAACGGCAGCGGCAGCGGCAGCGGCAGCAACGCCACCATCAGAAAAGCAGCACGCCCCCACACTCGGGATTGTGGTTGAGTTCTCGTCAGTCTCACTCGCTTCCTGTTGTTTTTGTTCTTGTCTCCTGCCGTTTGCCGCTGTCATATCTCCTTGGCGACGGACCCGTGGCTGACATGGCGCCCTTCGGGCTTGTGCTCTGCAGTGGCGGCCTCGAGATGCTGTTTTCGCACCAAGTCCGCCACCAACTCGCCCTCCCGAACGCCGACGACCAGGGAAGTCCGGCCACTATCGCCTTCCTGATCGGGTATTTGTGCCGCCACGCAATGAAGGACGCTCGCAGGCACCTCTTTGTGCTTGACGGCCACCTGTGAGTCCAGCCCGCCGCCCCCTTGTTCGCGCCGATCATTTTCTCCCCGTCACTCTCCCTTCGTCACTTTCTCCTCTCCCCCTCCTTTACCGCCTCCATCCCCTCTCCCTCGGGTCTGGCCTATCATAAGTCTGCGGCCGAAACAGGCCACTTGGGAAGGTGCATCGCTTGGCTGTGCACTATGGTTTCCCTTGTGTGCAATGGCCGTCGGGAACAGACCCTAGCGGGGAGGAGGGGGCGTGTGTGACAAAGGCCGTCTCTGACTAGCCTTGATTTCTTTTCCTTTTTTTTCACTTTCGGTGGCCTCTCAGTCGCCCAGGGATCCTTGTCTTGATCAACGACGCCGACTGGGAGCTCGAGGGTGAGGAAGAATATGTGATCCAGCCCGGTGACAACATCCTATTCGTCTCGACGCTCCACGGGGGCTGAGAGATGGGCCTTCCGGTCTCGCCCCAACCACCGATCCTCCCTAGAGAGGGCCGCAATATTCAGCAAGCTTGGAGCCAGTTATTCCCACCGTCGGATCATAAGAGCCGACCCCGGCGTCGGACGAGAACGAGAACTGTCATATCGCAGAGGGACCGGGGTGTCTTTGCCCACCGAGGGGGTGAGTGTACATTGTGTGGCAATATCAGTCGCGGCCGCGGGAAGCTCCCGGTGTCTCCTCGGGAGGCAGGCAAGATACGTGGGCGGATGCCAGGAGGGGGCGCGTCTAGCCACCCGCCAACCAAACAGCCAGCCAGTCAACAATGCACTCGTTGCAACGCTCGCTCCTCTTCCTTGTCCTTGACCACAGGTGGCCGCCTACGACGTGTCCATCGGCTTGTCGCTGCCCTTGATAACAGCGTGGCCTCACGTCAGGACCGTTTCCGAGGCTCTCTGAGCGAAACATGTCGCCGCACTCGCCGTGGCTTGATGTCGTCCTCCCTCGTTTGGAAGAAGGCCATCCCTGAAAGATTAAAGGCCCACGTTTCGTGGAGATGGGACAAGACCTGACC